AAGAGAAGCTGTAATTAATAAGGTCGATAGTTTCACTCAAAAAGTTGCGCATATTACATATCATTTAATAGCATCACGTGATCATTCGGGTCACCTGGGTCAAGCAAAATCGAGATCCTAACCTGACGGGTTTTAAGAAATTAGGACTCGTGACATAAAATGATAGTCCCAACTCGAATTTTTTCTCGAGTCGGGTCAAATGACCCAGGTCGATTCGACCAGCTCAGAGCACTAATTATTATTGCTGAAAATATTATTCACCTTTTTTTCTTGAAGGATGTTTACACTGATAAGCGGAAAACATTATTGCTTTGGAATATTTTTAACTTTCATGTTATACTTTTTATTTTTAGACATGGCTGATGATAACTTAGGCAAAAATAGTAATAACAATACAGATATCACGACAAATTTAGAGTCAACCCTAAATGTAGCTTTGCTGCTTCAGTTATTAACAAATCCAACAGTTTTGTAGTAAGCTATTACAATGATTACTACGCAAAATCAACAAATCCCTTTTTTGCCAATTTTCACGTCTAATTCTACTATTTCTACACCATCAAATGCTCTTATAGGCATCATTAATACATCAGTAAATATATAAAATGTTTAAAAATTTTTGATAACATTTTAATATTTTACTATTATTTGTTAGTTTCCACGTGATTCAATACAAAATCCTATTACTAAAGAAGAATGGAATCAATGGAAAAAAAAAGAAACAGCCTAAAGAAGACTGGAAAGATTTTCTTCATTTATCATATGATACTTATTGGACTTATCGGGTAAGTAATTAATTTTTTACATTTTTATAATTTAGACTATATATACATTCTAAATAATTTGTAAATTACAGAGAAATCTTCACGATAGATTAAATGCTACTTGTGAAAAAGGAAAATATGCATTTGAGCAAACACCAGGAAAAATTCGAAATGTTATTAATAATGTTAGTTATATATTTTTGTATATTTCATATTTAAAACTAATTAACATTATAAAATTTCTAAATTATTATTTAGTTTAAAAGTGACTTTCCAACCTTTTCCATTTCTGTTGGAGACTTTGTCTTGTAAAAATTAACTGAAAACATTGTTGGAAATATTGCTTTATATTTAATAAATTATTTTCATCTAATATAAACATTTTATAATTTTGTAGCTGATACTGAACGTAGAAAAAAAAATCAAAGCAGCTCATATACAAGGTATTGACCTGCCTTTAAAATGAAAGAATATCATACCACCTGATCCAAAGCATAAAAAGGTTACACCAAATTATGAATTATCATCAACTGCGCCAAATTCTGAATCATCAACTACGCCAAATTCTGAGTCATCGTCAAGCATAATCCTGCATAAATCGATTTCACCTATACAAAATTCTGGATTATCAAGCACAATGAAATCAGAAATACAATCATTATCATTATTACAAGTACCAGTGCAAAGAAAGCAAAAACATCTGGTAAAATAAAAAATTTGTTTAGACTTTATTTATATTTATGGTATTATAATATTTTATTAATTAATGTATATAGGAAATAAAAGAAAATTTACAAGATTAAGGAAAAAGTAACCAATATAACTACGAATACTCGCAAGAAAGCCAAAAATGCTCAACATTGAGAATTTCAGAAAATAGGCAAAATGTTATCTAATTTACTGAAATTAATTCGAGTATTTTCAGGAAAATGATCTCCAATTGTAATTGAAAAATACCCGAAAATGTACTTCATAATGTCTACCTGGGCACATACGTAAACCAGAACAAAATGGTAAAAATGTATGACCCTATCATAAAATGGTCCGGATTAAATTCTTCAGGATTCGTAAAGTATTCAGGATTTATATAAACTTGTGACAAGAAAGCACGAAATTTTGTGTCTACACCAAATTATAACTACCTACATCGTCTTCTGACACATTACTACGAAAAATTACAGAGGTAGCTGGTATTATTCTACTTACTTCTTTAATTATGGCTTCAGCGTATTCGAATTTTCAATATCTTTGAAAGTGATATCACGCAAGGTGTTTGATGAGAAAATTACGTCAATTTCATCAAATAGTCGTTTTTTCACATAGGGATACTTACACAAGTAATACATGATGAAACTCAATGAACTTTCTGCCTACAAATCAAAAGTCTATGATAATCTACATAATAATATTTTCTTTTTTTAAAAAAAAAAGTAAAACTTGTATATTGCAAATGTACTGTATCAATTTCACTAATAAACACTTCAATTAAGTTCGATCTAATCACATCATCAGTTACATCATTATAATTTACCTTGGAACTATTCTGCGTAATGTCATCTTGTTTTTCGTTATCAAATACTTCAGAAAAACATTATATCCCGCTTATCCTCTTGAACATTTTTTCGATTCTTGATATCCAAAAGTATTTCTTCGCGACAAAGTTTAATATAATTCTCTATACTATTGTTTAATGATTTCATTTCATTCAAATAATAATTATTGTAGTAAAGAAGTAATGAGTAACATAACAAAGACGGTTGTCCAAAGAATACCAGACTTTGAAAAATGAATGATCTTGTCTAAGAAGCGCATTACTTGATTTATATACACTTGAATATTTGTTCTTTTAGATTGAATCATCACTTTTTGGCAAAGAGTTGTAAAGGGATTGTAATGTATAAGAAGGTTTTCACAATATTGAGATAATAAATGAACCTTTGTATCCAACCAACACAATTTTTGTGTTAAATTCACTTGATTTTTCAAATAACTTGCATTCATGAGCAAGAGTACAGATAACATTCTATTTCTTTTCCAACTAATTAATTCACTGTTCATAACCATACCGCTTTTACCAAATCCTAATTCATCCATTCCTTCATTATGAGGATTTTGTAATGTAAAATTACTTTTTGTTGAAGTCGAGAATAATTTTTCAAGGAACTCTGATAAATTTCTAAATTGTCTCCGA